TAAGATGGTATGGATAATTTGTATTATGAAGACCTAGTCAAGCTAAGGAATGTCAAACTGAATACATGCACATGTGCCACACACACACACACACACACACACACACACACACACACACACACACACAGTAATTCCTTTGAGTAGGGAATGATGATCAACCAAATGCTGTGATATGTGCTGCACACTGTACCACGTGCTAGGAACATCAAGATGATCTGTGTATGGATCTTGTTCCTACAGAGTTCATCGGGAGGTATTTTACCAATCCGGCTACAGTTCACAGGTAAAGCAGGATAGTTAGTGTTCAGTACTAAAGAAACTAGCTATGAGGGTAGGCAGGGAGATGGTGAGGCCTGTGCTCCGTGGGGCTTGTGATACCAGGGGACAAGCGAGACTGAAAGATGCTGAGAAAGTTGGAGACCAAGAAAAAGAGAAAGAGAGGGAAGCAGCAATGAGGGCAGGACATGGAAGCCACAGTTGTGACACCAAAGGACACAGCCATTGTAAAGGCAGCCAATTGCCAATGCAAAGATCGTGAAATTTTAGAAGATACTGAAAGTGGGTTTGTGGCAAGACATATGCCCTGAAATAAATATTAGAAAGCTGGAACCATGGAGTTATTCAAGATACATGAAAATGGATGAATTCTCCAGGAATTGCTAGAGACTGAGATCAGAGCCTTGGGGGAGGGAGCCCCAGTCAGGAGCTGGAAGAACAGAAGGAGGGGGTCTGAAGCGGCCAACAAGGCCAGGAGAAGTAGGGAGGTGCATTGCCACTGAGGCTAGGCAGGAAGGAATTTCCAGCAGTGGGTGACTGTCTGGGTGGTTAAATGCCACGGAGAGGCTGGAGCAAATGAAAACCAAAATAAAGCTGCTCATTGTATAAAGCTACCCTCTCTGAAACAGCTGTGGGGTTCTTGTTTTAAAATTAAATGAAAAGTATAAGATATTAATAAGCTTTGAAATAAAGCTTCTATGCAAGTGAACCTCAAAGATGTAGCGGCTCTCTGGCGGAGATAACCACACCATAGCATTTCTGTTTTCAAAGAAACGTAGGGAACATTATTCAAACTCATCGTTGTAACATTTGGGGGAAGATTATAGCCTTAAAAAAGCCAGAAAATCTGTTTCCATTGCTTTCTTACTTTGTATAGCCATTGATACTAATGGTAGATAACTTTCCAGGAACTTAGTGACAGGAAATGAAAGATGATGACGATGAGGACACCCTTAGGAAAATCCAACACTTCTCTAGTATGAAATGACTTCTTGTGAGTTACTACATTTTACCTTCAATAACTGTGAAATATCTCCATTTTATGTATGTAGACAGCTTATAAGAACCCATGTTAAAAATAGATACACGGGACAGGACTGAAGTATTCCAAATCAGCAGGGCTTCATGTTTGGTTATCTTGAGCTTTTCCTAGAATGCTGGAAGAAATTTTACCATGGAACAGAGACAAAGAAAATATCAGGATATATCAGTCCCCTTCTGTGTGTAGACCCAGCGGAGAGGCTTATGCATTTTGTGTTGCAAATGACAAAGCCAATATGAATCTCACTTAGAAAGAAAGGGTGAAGGGGGGGATGGTTGGTTCAAGAATGGAAAAGTCTACGGGTGGATGTTTAGTCTAAAAATGGCAATTCTAGCTCCATAAAAGCTAAGCTATACTTGGGATTCACTTTGTGAGTATAGGGCAGGGGTGGGTGTGGCTGTATTGAGTCAGGTAGGGAAGCAAGGGTGAGGCTCTTGTACGTCACACCAAGGACTTAGGTAGGGAACCAACCAGCAGTTTCACATGGGAAAATCAGTAGCTTTTAGAAGAGAGTGGTTAGTGGGCAGCAAAACCAGCAGATCTCCAACACCAGCCCTGTCCTGTCTTCCAGCAGCACTCCACCAACTTCCCAGAAGTTCTCACTCTTAGAGCCATTTCCTTAATACTGAGTCTCAGAAGTTTCCTTCGGTGCTGCAGATACTCCGAGGCAAAGGTTTGCAGTGTTGGTGGTGTAGCAGAGTCCTGTGGGTAGCCAAAACATTCTTTGAAGAATGTGGCTGTCTGAGCGTATCATCTTAAGTGAAGTCCAGTGGGCTGGCAATCCCTGGTACATCATTGGTACAGTGCTTGCCCGGCTCTCACAAGACCGTGGGTCCATATCCAGTACTGAAAAGCAAGCAAGCAAACACAAGATCGTCCGGTGAAGTCCAGATACCGAACCCCACACACAAACTTTGTCCTCACTGTAGGAGTTTGAAAGGAACCATACGCTGTGCACAGTTACTAGCAGATCTCCCATGCTCTCCTTCTCCTCCCTTCCCGGGGTCAGCGTCTGTGGCTATTCAGTAGTTGCCTTGGGAACGCTGACCGAACTGAATATAACTGCACTATATATTGCCCTATACATAACCATGTTCCCAGGTTTTGTACACTTGATTTCTACTGTGTGTTTGGGACTCCAAGGTAAGAAAAATGATGGATACAGTGAGGAAACCCTCTAGCACCGTAGGGAACATTATCTTGTGGGGCATTCCTGTTTAGACTTGGGAAAGCACGTGGAAGGCAACCAAAGCCACTGGAATCCAAAGCACTCTGAGTCTTAAGAGTTCTTGTTTAGCACATGGAAACTCCCAGCAGGAAGAATAAACTCGGTTTGTGTGAGAACTTGCTTCATCATGGCTAAAGCAAAGGGCCTGAGTAAGGGCAGAGAGGGGGGGCGGAAGCTGCAGCTGGGTAGGTTTTTGTTTGTTTTTAGTTAAGTGCTAAAGACGCTCAAGTCGTGTTTATTCCAGGGAAAATATCACACAGTCTATCATTTTGAGCGTGTACATTTCCAGTTTGTGAGCTGATGAAAAGTGTCACAGTTTTAAATTGGATTTTAAAGTCGGTCAGAAAAGGACTCTAAGTGGCTTCTCAGAGGGCGACTTGCTGCAGTGCCGCCCATGGCCACACGGATGCAGTGCAGCTCAGCGGACAGCAGGAACTGCGTTGAGAGGCGGGTTCCAGAGAATCCCTTCCCATGCAATGAAAACCGATCTCCTGGAAGCAAGTGGAAGGTGTCCTTTATCTCTACCATCCATCTTGCCTCTCAGTTCTACTTCAGTCTCTGTGGGACTCCAAATGTGTATTAAACAACAGTTCCTACAGGCTTATTACACGTTCCCCACTCCAGTAAGTGGTCTTGCCTTGTGAAAAAAAAATTGAAATAATGGAAATGTCTAATGATGAAGGGCTAGCAAAATGACTTGTTAAATGCTCAGACAAAGAAACACAGTACAGCTATGCAAGCACGTTCCAGACATTACTTAAAGATAGGGAAAATGATAAATGAGAATAAGTTAAGTCAAAAAAGCAAGCCTGTCGAGGTGGCACATTTGTCGAGGGGCTAAGGCAGGAAGGAGGATTGCAAAATAGAGGCTAACTTGTGCCTCACAATGAGACCTTCTTTAAAAAGTGTGTGTGTGTGTGTGTGTGTGTGTGTGTGTGTGTGTGTGTGTGTGCCCATGGGGGTAGGCAAGAGCTGGTAAAGTGTTTGCCACCAAGCATTAGGACCTGACTTTGGATCCCTAGCATCTAGATAAAAAGCAAGACACTGTAATACCATAGCTGCAGAGGCCGGCAGGAAGATCCCTGGGATTTGCTGATGCTCTCTAGGTCAGCTCTGGCTTCAGCAAACTTCTGTCTCAAAAACTAAGGTGTCAGGCAATGGAGGAAAGACACTCCATGTAGACAGGCCTCCAAACTCACAAATGCCCACAAACAGTGCACACAAATACCAGGGAACACAAATACTACCCCACATCAAACAATGACAACAACAAAAGCAAAATCCAGATACCCAAACAATTTGAGAGTCTAGTGTTACTTAAGTTTTTAGATGGCACATACTTATATAGAATAAAATCTCTATATGGAAGACTTATTGAAATGAGACTGACTGAAGTAAGTTTTATTTTCCTCTTTATAATGTATAATTTTATAAAATAAGGAACACAAACATTTTTATGCCTAGGAGAAAGGTAATGAAGGAAATACCAAAACAGAGGACTATCCAGTCTACCACATAAAGAAAAAGACTGTTAATGTTTATGGGACTACTCCATGTTTGCTTATAGACAGGTTTTGCAGAGTATTTGTTTAACTATGCAAAGATGTGTTGCATTTGTTTAACTTTGCAAAGATGGGTTGCTTTTGTTTAATTATGTAAAGATGTGTTGTTGTTTTACCTTGTCTGTCTAAGGCATCTGATTGGTCTAATAAAAAGCTAATCGACCAATAGTGAGGTAGGAGTTGTAGGCACACTTCTGGGCAGGGAAAGTAAGTAGTAGTAGGAATTTAGACTTGGAAAGCAAAAAAAGAGGGAGAGAGAGAGAGAGAGAGAGAGAGAGAGAGAGAGAGAGAGAGAGAGAGAGAGAGAGAGAGAGAGAGCAGGGAGATGCCAGGGTCAGCCACCCAGATACAGAGGAATCAAGGAAGTGGCACATACAGCTTGAAAGAAAGCTAAAAAGCCCTAAGGCAAAATGTAAATGAATAGAAACAAGTTTAGTTAAGTTAAAAGAGCCAGTGGGACAAGCCTAAGCTAAGGCTGAGCATTCAGAATTAATAATAAGTCTCTGTGTCTTTATTTGGGAGCTAGTTGGTGGCCCAAAGAAAATGTCATCTACAGATAGGTTCTTCCCCAATTGGATTGAGAAGCCAATTCACAAGGCCTTGAAAGAATATTTAATAAATCACTAATTAGTTGTAATTATATATCATCATTAATTTTCTTCTGTATTTTTAAGTTTTTTTTCTGTAGGAAGCACACATGGTTTATTTAAATACTTAAAAATAGAAATATATGTACATGTATGTTATTGAATTATCATTTATAATTTCCTTCAGTGTGGAGTAGTCTTTGCACTTCTTTTTTCTTAGCATAGCTTTTATGATGAGATCATGATACATCTTGCAGTATTCTGCCCTCCAAATTTGCCTGATTATTTCTTGAGGTGCCCTTGAATCTGTTCTACACCAGATGTATTTCCTGGACACAGGAGGTTAAGCCATAGGCAAGAATAGATTCAGGTCACAATCCTTTTGGCAGCCGTATGCGCTGGGAAATGCTGTGTACGTCATCATTCATGCTATCAGGAGGCATACCAGGTTGTCTCCAGTTCAGGGTCAGTCCATGGCCACTTGGCCCCATGCCCTTTGGGAAGAACATGCTGGCAGGAGAGCGTGCCAGAAGAGGTCTTCACCTCCTGGTGGACAGTAATTAGAAAGACAGACATACTTTAAAAATTACGTTTTATTTTTGAGATTATCATATAATTGCATCATTTTCCCCTTCCTTTTTCTTTACTCCAAACCCTCCCATAATCCTTCCTTGCTCTTCTTCAAATTCATGGCCTCCTTTCTTCATTAATTGTTGTTACGTGCATACGTAAACACATCTATATTACTAGATACAGCCTGCTCAGTTTGTATAATGGTACGTGTATGTATGTTTTCAGGGCTGGCGTTTGGTGTTGGCTAACCAACTGATGCGCTCTTCCCTGGGGAAGCCTATCTCTCTCATTCTCAGCATTCCTTAGTTACGTCTAGTTCTTCATGTGGGGCTGAGGCTGGTGGCCTTTCTCCTGTCCCTTGAGCGTGTCTATTGTCTTTGTTCAGCTCACGTCTAGGCAGTCATGTTGGTGAGATTTTAAGGGTGTAATGGCTGACATTACTAAGGGATACAGTCTCAGCAAATCCCTGATCCTCTGGCTCTTACAATCTGAAATGTATTCCCCATGACCAGCATCCTGAGTAATAACTAGCAATAAGCAGTTACATTGGTGAATCAATGTTGATGCATGATTATTAAAGGTCCAGTTTACTTGGGGCTCACTCTTTGTGTGGTACATTCCACGAGTTTTGACAAACGGTATAATCACATGTTTCTACCATTATAGTATCTTACTAACAAATGGTCAGTTAGTTTGATTTATCAAACAATCTGTTGTATTGATTTTTGTATATTGATCTTACATCCTACAACTCTGTTAAACCCATTTGTTAATTCGAGTGGTTTTCTCAGAGCGTTTACTCCATTTTCTACGTAGATGAGCATGTGCCCGCTGGTGGGAACCGTTTCCCTCTTTCTGAACCCTGTAGCACAGTGGTTCTCAAACTTCCTGGGGCTGCCACCCTTTAATACAGTTCCTCAGGTTGCGGTGACCCCAACCATAAAATAATTTTGTTGCTGTGATTTCATTACAGTCATTCATAACTGTGATTTTGTTCCTGTTATGAATCGGAATGTAAATATCTGATGTGCAGCATATCTGGTCTGTGATCCCCCCCAAAGGGGTCAAGACCCACAGGTTGAGAGTGGCTGCTCTATTACAATGTTGAAAGAAATGTTGATATCAATACTTTGTTTATGATCTTAAGATGGATACATTCAGTATTTCACATTCTATTGTGTTTTGAGACAGGGCCTTACTATGTAGCTCAGGTTAGCCTTGAACTTGTGATGTTCCTATCTCTGTGTCCTGAGTGCTAGGATTATAGGTGTGCACATACACACAAAGTTTAGTGATGTTAGGTGCAGATAATCATAGATAACCTTTACCACTTAGAGGAAGTTACTTAGTTTTTAAAATTATGTAGTTGAACTTTGTCAATTATCTTTTCTGCATCTACTCAGAGGGTCATATGAGGTCTCTTAATTTGTTAAGAGGACGAATTTTATTGGCTAATTTGTTCATATGACGCTAGAGCTGCACTCCTGAAGTTAACTCTGCTTTGTCATGTCGTATTATCCTTTCTGAACTTCAGTCTTTCAATACACGAAGGGGTACATCCAAGATGCCCGAAACCACGTACACCACTACACACCGCTCACACGAGAGGCTCCTGTGTGGTTAACCCTGGTTGTCAATTTGATTGACTGAAGGAGGAGAGTCTTTTCCAGGGTTGATAGCATCTTTGAACTTTCCCTGCCTTTGCTGCTGACATCAGAACTCAGCTTCTCTGTCTGAGGACTAGGGAGTGGTCCAACATGACCTGAAGATCAGCAGCTCTCCAGGAATCCTCTAGGCCATCAGCACCAGATAGGATTCTGAACTTCAGTGTGCAGACGGCTACTGTTGGACTACCCAACCTATATTGTATAAGACAACCTAATAAACCCATATATAGATCCACATTATATAAATATAATCTGTATATAGATATATACCTATTTATATATGGACATATAAATCCATATATGTGTATTCCAACAGTTTGTTCCTCTGGGAGACTCTGGTCAATACTGACTGTGGTGCTTTCTGCACCCAAACACCCATGGCCTCATGAGGCATGCTCTGTGGTCAGAGGGCTGCTTTAATGCTGGCTCTACACTGATCAGGCACCACTCAGAACTGTCAGTCACGACGACGACGATGTCACAGCCTCTTTCTGGGACAACCCTGAAGACAGCGGTGAATGGAAACCTTCACCGTGGAAAAGCTTCCTGTATGGCACAGTGCTGTGGCTTTGCCTAGAAGGAAAGAGAGACAGATTTGAGTATGTTCTGAGTTCTAGGCTCTGGTTGTTTAGCTGGACGGTTGGAGATTTGTAAGAAGTGTGATTGCAGGCTTGCTGAACAAGCTATCTGGGGAAGGGATATGTGAAAAGATTTCTTCACAGTGGAGGTAAAGATGGACATGTCTGGATTGTAGGAGATATTTTAGGGCATTTGTTGGTCCTACCATGTCCTGTGGTTGAAGTCAATGTAAAACCACAACCCAGGCAGGATGATAAATCGCCCTGACCCTTCAAACATAAATATATGAATAACCCCTCTAGACAAAAAGAACCAAGACCTGCGTTTGCTGAGGGCAGAGGAAATACAGAATGAGTAGAATAGAAGTAGCTGCCCTGTTTTGCTAAGAAAATGTTTATGTATTCTTTTTCTAGCAATACTTTTTGTTTACTTGTTTGTGAAGCCCAGGTTAGCCTGAAACTTCTGTGTGACCAAGTTGGGCCTCAGACTTGCAAGAATTTTCCTGTCTCTGCCTCTTTAGTGTCGGGATTATGTGTACATGCCACCACGCTGGCTTCAAGAGTTCTTAATACGTATTTGGCAGGTGCTCTCCATACTCGAATAGCAACAGATTCAGGAAAACGATTGTTTTGAAATCATTGATAAGTCCTCCCTAACCAGTTTGATAAAACACTAAACTGTAAAGCTCAGTGCAATTGTTAAGTATTCCTATTATTACCTTTTCTGTGTTGTACACTGTCACATAAGATTTACAGGAGGCAGAATAATTAAGCTGGAATAGATGACATCATAAAATGCTTACTTTTTGTAGCTTTATGAATTATACTTTAGCAGGTGAATTTTTTTTAGTGTAAGCATGAGTCCCATGAATATCTGGAATACGAGTTTTTAAATTTTTCTGGATAGGATTATTTTCAAAAATTTATTTTGAAGAAAGCTTTATTCCAATGTCTTGATTTTATTTAGGATTTTAGAAAATGTTCAAATGAAAGAACAGCTAGCAAAAATTTATACTGGTTCGTAAACATTTAGAGCCAGATTTAAAAGACCCTTTTAAAGTAGCAAATGGAAAACTGTGTCTCTTATCATGGTTCAGATGGAATATGCTCTAATGCATGCTGCAGTCTATCAAGTTCAATTATCTTATAAATGATAAAATAATTACTTTTTCAAAAATCATGACAGAAATTACAGCGGGTGCTCTTGGAACACCAAAAGACTTAATGTTTTAGCAACTGTTTCTTAACTCCCCCCCCCTTTTTTTTTTTTCCAATCTGTGGTAAATGCTTTATTTCATTTGTTCTTTTCATTTGGTTCTGGGGGCTAAACCAGGGCCGTGTGCATGCAGAAAGGCACACTATCACCACTGAGTTACTATCTAAGCCCCTGTGATAGACTTTTTTAATGCGCTGTGTAAATGGGAACAAGAATAAGCATCAGAGAGGAGAAAGATTGAGAGATGCAGGTGAGAGGAAGAACGCTCTGCTCCGGCTACATGAATTTCCTCATGCCGCCACTGTGGGGCAGTATAACAGCAAAGCCGTCTGTCAGCCAAAAAAAAAAACCAAAAAACAAAAACCCAAAACAAGACAAAAATAAAACAAACAAACAAACAAAAAACAAAACCAAGGCACCCAACTTTTCAAAGACCATCTCATTAGTGTTGGCAGGTAACTGTCCCCAAGCCTTGAGCGGTAAATGAAAAACTGTGAATGCTTACCCGAAAAAAAGTCTATCCTCTTAATGATGAAAGGGGAAATGAAACTGGCCCACAGATAAGTGCGATGCAATTCCTAGATTAGAAGGCTGCAAGTTGTCATAAACAAAATCTATCAAACATGAAGGGCCTCAGATCCTGAATCAAACCCTGCTCTATATTTTGAGTCCTCCTGTTTTGATTCATGCAGTTTCCAAATCCCATCAAATACAGAGACCTGTGAGCAGGATAAATTGGACACCGACAGCTTTCTAGTTAAGCAGGTTTTACAGCCGCCTTTCTGGAAACTATCAGCACATTTCTACTTGACTTGAGTACAACAACAAGATTGAAATTCCCTGTAAGGAAAAATGATTACTGACTACTGTATCAATTTAGAGATGCCTGGGTTCAATGAAAACAAGCAAGGTCTATTTCCCCCGTGGGACATGCATTACATCATACAGAGTCCATGCCAGCCTTTTACTTCTTTCAAATAAATACCTCTTAGCACAGCCTCGAGCCTGCTGGCCATTGCTAATTACCTTTCAGGAGGAAAACTTTCATACACTCCCATTCAGAAAACAATCGTAAACTCTTTGTTATGTTCTACAACACAGAGGAATCCTGGAGACACTCTGCTAAGTGAAATAAACCAGTCATCCAAGGATGAACATTATGGGATTGAATCTATCCAGGAGTCTTCAAGTAGTCCAGTTCACAGAGACAGGGCAGAATGGTGGCTGCCGGGATCCTCGGGGAGGGAGGGAAGTTGGGTCAGTGATGCAGGTGTAGAGAATTTCGGCTGAGGAAAATGGAAAAGGTCTAGAGAGGGAGGCCAACACTGCCAACAACGTCAGTTTAGTTAGGGTCACAGAAGGGTATACGCAAAGCCTAAATGAGAGGCAGGGAAGATGCCTCAGTGGGTAACATATTTGCACTGAAAGTATGAGGAACTGGGCTCAGATTCACAGCACGCACTTATGAGCCAGGCATGGTACATGAATCTCCGTTATCTCAGTTCCTGTGGGAAGATGGACAGTAGAGACAGAAGAATCTAGAAGCTTCTTAGCCAACCAGCCCTGGGTATGCAACAGCAAGCAGTGTGGAAGGCACTCATGACATGAGGCTGTCCTCTGACTCCCACATGAGTGCCATGGCACATGGACACACCTGTGCACGCGCATGCACACGCGCCATATACACAGAAGATTAAAAGATGGCTAGCTGATAAATCTTACGTTCCATACACTTAACCACATTAAGAAGTTACAAAAAAAATCACAGCATCTATTATCCCCTTTTCTCATTATAAAATCAATATATATTTTCATTATAAAATGTATAATGGAAAAGGAATTGGAAGTACTATGGAGATTGCTGCATTTTTTCTATTCATTTTGTCATATGAGAGACACAATTTAGTTTGCAGCATAGCCTCTGAGACGGTAACGGTCCATGGGAGTGGGAACACTGCTCATTAGTTAGACATTTCACTAGAGGACAAGCTAGCTGTCTCTAAGAAGGAAATATAGTTATGTTTCAGAGATTAGAAGTGTGCATTGAGAAAGTTATAGCTATTTTTTCCAGTTAACCCAAGTGGACAATGGTAACCAAATTATCTGGTGAGAGCCAATAACTGGACTTAAAAATTCCAGAGTGTTGGGTATAGGGTTAGGACAGTAATGTTTAGGTAGAAGCATACACACAAAACCAAATTGAAACACATCCAAAATAAAGGTCCTAAAGAAAAAAAATCTATACATTTTGAGACTGTTGCATTAGCCTTGAACTCACTATGTCACCGAGGTTGACTCTGAGGTTTTAATCCTCCGGCCCTACTTCTCAGGATTATAGGTTATGTGCCATGCACTCAATTTACAAAATGCTGGAATTAACCCAAACCCTTGTGCATGGAGGGGGGGTGGTCAAGCACTTTTTCAACTGAACTCCATCCTGCATTTTCAACCACTGCATGGGAAAAGGAAACAGTAACGTGGATGGTTGCTTTACTTACCAGAATGTTTTTTAATTCAGAAAAAATGTTCTGAATATGGGGAACTACAGTAACAAAACAAGTGATAAATATTTGCAATTCCTGTCACTAGGAATTGACAATGAATATGATGTGAAATGAGCTACCAATTTCAGCAATGCTTGTGTGATAAAAACTTGCACACTGCAGGTAGAAAATGCCACCAGGCCTACTGCTACTCCTCTTTGCAGAGGCAGTGTGATGGTCAGTTTTCACTGTCATCTTGATGGGATGTAGAATCACCATGGAAACGCACCTCTTGGTGTAGGTATGAGAAGATTTTCAGAAGTGTTTAACAGAGGATGGAAAACCAACTCTGAATATAGGCAACGCCTCCCATGGGCTGGGGAACAGAGTGTAAGGAGAACCATTTGTCTCTCTCTGCTGCTTTGCGGAAGCGGTGCGGCTAGCTGCCTCACACTACCAAAGCCACGCCTTCCCCACCATCGTGGACTGTATCCTCTCAGACTGTGAGCCAAACCAAGTCTTTCCTTAAGTGGCTTTTGCCAGATATTTGGTTTACTGAAATGAGAAAAGTAGCTAATACAGTCAGCCTCTCTCATGTTCATGATTTTGCTGTGTGCCTTTTCAATAATTATTTCTAACTTAAAGATATGTGTATGTATTCATAAAAATGTATTATATTGTCTTTCATGTTCCTCAAATTCATATAAATATGTGCATGTTAACTGCATGTCCTCTTAAAATATATTTTTAAGGCTAGCTCATGTTACTAGTCAATATTCTTGAACCTGTAATTGTCAAAGGAGACAATTTTACTTCCTCAAATGGTATTGGAAATGCCTAGTTTTTGTTTTTGCTTGTTTTTGTTTTTGATAAGGTCTTGCTGTGTAGCCCAGGCCAGCCTCAACCTTGAGATCCTCCTATTTCAATTTCCTGTGGGTGTAAGCCACCATATCTGGCTGGAGATAATTTTGTCACAGGGAGGTGCTATTCATGTCTATTGGGTAGAAGTCAAGAATTCTGCTGACTAAACATCCCGCAAAGAGCCCCACAACAAAGAGTTATGAAAGAATTATCTGACCTCAGATGTCAATAGTGTCAACGCTCAAGATCTCTGATCATAACTAGTGACTCTTCAAGCACAATTGTGACCACCAGCAGCAGTGTCATCACTTGGGAACTTGTTAAAATGCAAATAGTTCTACAAGCCTCAAAACCTAAAGAATCTACGGTGGTGGTGGTGGTGGGGCTGGTAATCAACCCTAGGTCTGATATTACCTCCTTATTCTGATACAAGAAATTTATTAACTTTGTCATATGGCAATAAATAATCCAGAAAACATCACTTAAGAGTCAGAATCCTTGGATGGGCAAGATTGTGTGGCGCTCACTGGTGAGGGGGTATTAGTATGGTAAGACAGGGGGGTGTAGAGCAGGGAGAAGGAAGGCAAACATCTTTGTGAGCCCCAAGTTACCTTTTGGAAATGGATGAACTCAAAGATCAGCACGGGTCTGGAAGAACTCAGAGGTTTCTCAGAGGGAGGGGCAGAAAGAACAGAAGTTCGAGAAGGAGGGGGCAGAACCTAGGAGTACCCACCAGAACCCTTCAGCAGGGCAGAAGCCTGGATGGACCACTAGAAGCCCATAAGAACAGAAGACTGGTAAGAGAAAAAGGATCATGAGGTTGGGGAGAGACACAGATGTAGACAGGCATTGACCTGATCAGCTCTGAGTTGGCAGAGGATAAACAAAAGAGTTAAAGACAGAAAAAGCACCAGAGAAGAGAATCTAGAAGATTCGAGGATTGATGTTCTTTCTAGAGGAGGTTGAATGCAGACATCAGAGAGTAAAGATGGGTTTTAATAGGGTCATTTCAAGTGGTGTTGAAGTTAATTTGCTTAGTTTTTAAGTTTTGGTTGCAAAATTGTGCCTCATATGCATCTTTATCAAAAAGGCTGAGAATGGCCAGGCATGGTAGTGTATGACTAATCCCTGCTCTTGGGAGACAGAGGCAGAGGCATGTGGATCTCTATGAGTTCAAGGCCAGGCTAGGCTATATAGTGACACCCTGTCTCAAAACAAACAAACAAACAAACAAAAAACCAGTAAGATAGTCTTAGACAGTTTTGGCTTTGGACCTGTAACTCTTCATACTTACCCTTGAAGTTGTGATACCATGGGTATAGTTTGTTGACATTTTAACATAGGTGTAGCATAGGACTAATATATTTAATGCTAGAATAAAAACCATACAGCCCCTGTTGAGTTGCTCAAGAGGAAGTGGGGAAGGTGTCAGAGGCAGAAGCAGGAGAGAAAGGAACCTGAGGCCCCAGGTGGAGAGGTCACCTACCGACTCCCCATGTGGCCACCCAGTGAAAGGTAAACAAGAAGGACAGACGGACCAGGGAGAGAGAAACTTGACACAGTGCAGGCCTTTGTTGGGGTGGAGAGGACCTGCAGAGGGGGTCTATACAGACCAGAGCCCTGGTTTTTTGGGTGGTTACAATGCATCTTTTGTTTGTCTGTTTGTTTGTTTGGAAAAGAGTTTCTTGGTGTAATATCCCTGGCTGTCCTGGAACTCATTCAATACCAGGCTGGCCTCGAACTCACAGAGATCCACCTGCCTCTGCCTCCCGAGTGCTGGGATTAAAGGCGTGGGATGGCAGCACCTGGCTGTTACAGTGCATTTTAACAAAAGGGTTAGTGACGGTCAGCTGCAGCTAGAGGGGCGGTGTCATTAGGAAGACAGAGGGACACACAAAGCATTTACACAGCAATGTAAAGCCAGATTATCCTAAGAGCCCCAACTGTGTCTGATGCGAAAGGAACAAAGGAGATAGAACTGACTGTCTGTCTATCCTAGCTGTCCTCGAACTCACGGAGATCCTCCTGCCTCTGCCTCCACGCTGCTGAGACTGAAAGTGTAAGCACCATGCCCCTTGGCTGGGAAGTTTTCATGTAGGAACTCAACCCAAGCCAGGAGAAGGAGTAGCGTTAGAAAAGAGAAAAGGTACTTTATGTAAGCTTGGAATCTCAAAAGCTGACATTAATTCTGGTGGTGAGTAAAACAACTTCTGGCAGCTTTACATTCACATCCTTCCAGCCTGACTGTCCTGGGAGGAAGAGTCATGTCTGCTCGCACATCTGCTCAGCAACCCTGGGAAGAAGCCTCTGACTTTTCCTGTTTGGCATATACAACCATCCCTGGCCTACACACTTTTCCCAGAAAGATGCATCTTGTAATAGACCAGGTCCTGGTCTTGGACTCACTCCAGGGACCACATGAAATAGAGAACAAGCAGTTCCTCAGAAGACACCAAAGTTAGAGGTAAAAATCTACAGCTGCCCACTCCAGTTTAACAACAGTCATCTCTAGGTCCTCCCTAGGTTGAACCTCACCACGATTACTTTGCTCAAGTCAGTCTCTTTATTGCTCCTTGACTATGTAATGCTTGTTCCAGGCTCTACGTGTAAATGCTCATGCATACCATTTGTATCTGTAAGAATATTACTACTCTGACTTTCTCCTTTTCCACATTAGATCTTCAGGGAGCAGATGAAGTCCCCAGTGAATGTGTATTATTGACCCAAGTGTGGCCATGTCAGTGTCTCAGACTCATGGAAATGGCAAAGCCTTCCCCTGGTCCAAGTACAGATGTTTACAAACAGTTGGTCTTTAGCAAAAACCAGTGTATGAAGAAACTGTAGCTTCCTCTTCCAGGATGGCTACAACCTGAGTGCCCCATACAACCTCCTGCTAAGAATAGCTAGCCAGTCTCCTCCTCATTCTTGCTGTGTCTAAGAAATATGCTGAGTTTCTGGGTGTTGTTGATACATCTTTGTAGTGCTGGGCCCACCTGATTCCCGCTTTTCTGCTGTGTGTGTGTTTGTTATTTCTTCATTTCCCTATTGCCCCAGTCAGGTCGGTCCCAAAGCTGCGCAGAGCATGCTATGGCAATTGTCCATTATAGGAACTTAATCCAGGTCATTCTCTTTCATGAAGAATTCACAGCCAGGCAAGGCCAGAAATACCTCATACCCTCAATGATTTAGGGTTTCTATTAGGCTCCATCTCCCAAAGGTTTCACTACCTTACAATAATGCCACCTTGGGGACCAGCCTTTAATTACAAGGGACCCTTAGAGAGCATAAATCCATAGCAACCACTCAGTCTACAAACCCCACTCACTTCTTTTTTTAAACCAGTCATCTCCAAAATATCTCACTTTATTTTCTGGTCCAGAATCCCATCCAGGATACATACTGTATTTGGTCATTGTGATGACTATTCTTGGTTGTCAACTTGACTATATCTGGAGTGAACTACAATCCAGAAATGGAGGACACACCTGTGATCTGGATCTTGAGGCATGAAGACACAAGGCTTTGGATCCAGATCTCGAGACTGGAAGGCACACCTTTAATCTGGGCCACACCTTCTGCAGGAAGCCTGTATAAGGACAATGGAAGGAGGAGGGTTCATTCATTCTTGTCTGCTTGCCCTCACCTGTTAGCATATCAATTTCTTCACTGGAGTTGGAGCCTGCCTCTTTAGGATTCTAGAATATACAGCCGAGGCATCCAGCCTCATGGGACAGAGCAACTGTAGATTCTTGGACTTTCCTCTCACAGCTAGTCATTATTGGGTTAGCTGGATTACAGTCTGTATAAGTCATTCCACTAAATTCCAGTATATATACATGGAGAAAGAGAGAGAGAGATTCATTCTGTAAGTTCTGTGACTCTAGAGAACCCTGACCAATATAGTCATCATGTTATTTTATTCTCCTCCAGTCCGGAGAATCCTCAAGTCTCTCTATTATTTTGTTCTCTAGTTTATGAAAACGTACAGCTCCCATATTCTGTAGGTGACCCTTGCCTGTGGCTGTGGTCAGAATCAGGTGCTACTTCCTGGATAGAAAGACCATAGGAATGATGCAGTCTTGTCTGTGCCACACCATAGGTAGGTTATAATGATTTAAAATCCATGATCCAAAAATTTAATTTCTTCTCACCAACCTAATATATTTATTGCCACTTATCATTTTATTATAAGGAGGGGTTCCATTTGTTTGTTATGTACATGAACTCATGGATTTCTGATTTTTATCCTCCCCTGTTTTAGAGGCAAGGTCTTGCTATGTTGTTCAGGGTGGTCTTGAGCCCCAGGGCTTAAGTAACACCTCTGCTTCATTATATACATGCACTACTGTGCCTAGATTTTTATTTTATTTTGGGGTTTTGGTGTTAAAAACATTTTTAATGTTCAAGTTTATGTAGTGGTAACCCCTTCAAGGTGGCTCCTGTTTCTTCTTGGTAGGCATCTTCGTTACTTTTCCTGTTGCTATGATAAGGATACCCTGACAAAAGCAACTTAAGAGAGAAAGGGCTTATTTTCGTTTATGGTATGTCCAGGTGGGAAAGTCCAGGCATCCGTGGCTAGTAGCATTACATTCGCTGTCAGAGGAAAGTGGCAATGAATACATGCATGCTGCTGCTGAGCTTGCTTTTTCCACTCGTATGTAGTTCAGGATCTTCTGTCCATAAAATGCCTAAGAATAGCAGATCTTTCCACCTCAATTAATGTAATCCAAACAATCGTCCACAGGCACACCCAGGGAGCTATCTCCGGGATGATTCTAGGTTTTGTTAAGTTGACAATTAACCCTGACCATCATAGCACATTTCTATTCTTTTGAATATTTCCTAATTTTTTGGACTGGAAGTATTTGGGTTGAATACTCCAGGTTTATCATGTGCCTTCCAAATGCCAGTCCAAAGGTATCCATTTCTCCAGCACACCGTAAGTTCTTTTTAGTGGTGGGCATTATTTAGAAACCAAGATCTTGAGACCTAGGTGTAAATGGAATTCTTAATTGGTCTAAGTATTAAAAACCTGTGTTTGAGAGAAGAACATTATATTTGTTTCTAGTTTTCTTAATGGATAGTAGTGAACGCATGTGTGCATGTATATACATGTCTGTAACTATCTTTCAAATATGTCTACATATGTATAAAAATATGAGTCAATAATTAATCCTTACAACTCTTAATGTCTTGGGCTACTTTCTGGTGTTTGCTCCTTCCATTTTGGTAAACACTTTCTCCAGTGTATTTGCTTATTCCCTCATTGCTTTGTTTGTTTGTTCAACGTACCCAATTCCTAGCACACAGGTGTGCCCTGTGCCTTGCCAGATCCACTTGCCACAGTAGCAGTGCCTTGCACTCTTGTTGCTGTGCCTTTGCATGGCTACTCCTTTACTCTGTGGTGTCCTCGCGTTGTTCTTGGTGTTGCTTCTGAGAGGGGCAGCCACTGGCATTTCAGATAGTTCCTTTTTCCATTAGGTAGAAATCTCTCATATTCTGCAGAGGATTTACCATCCCCATTCCCCACTACTGATTGCCAAGAGTGTTCCCAGTCACAGTGGCAGTGAAAATTATCCCTACCTATTTCTGAATTCTGCCTTGGTATTGAAAATGTGATCCTTAGACCAGCAGCTTCAGTGACATCTGGGAACTTGTTAGAAATTCAGAAGGTAGGCTCACCCCAAACTTAGAGAATCAGAAACTACAGTTTAACGATATCTCGGGTGATATGAGTGCCCTAAAGTTTGAGCGGCAAGGATGGGCTATCTGTTGAAAACCATTTCCCAAGGGGAACTCTTCTGTTTCTGGAGGCATGAACAAAAACGTTCATGTTAGTGACACTGAACCTTTGCAGCTCAGATTCGCTTGTGATTGAGAATCATTAACTTAGAGCACTGTGGCAAATGAAGTTGGCAGCCGCTGGCATGCAGTCAACTGAGAGAGAACAAGTCAAGAAGATCACTTGGATCCCTCAAGGCATCCTTGCCTGTGGCCAGTTACATGTATGGGTGTCAATAAATTTGTTTTTATTTAAACAGATTTGTGTAGTATTCAGTTGTATGTAACCCAAAGAACCTAAGAAGACAGAGTTGGACAAGACTAGTTCTACAAATTAGGCTGATAGGTATTATCCAGTAGAGGCCTGTGAATGGACTGCCAAAGTGCCAAGAAGTTGACATATTTAACCTTTTTGACAAGTCCATGGAGTTAGAGATGGCCAAAGACTCCAGCTTTTCACCTTTAGTGTTGAATAACTTTGCCTGTTTTTATAATGCTCTAGTGGTAACACTCTAGATGAGAAAAAGAAATAAGGAATGACTGCTGTCGGCAAAGGGAATATTTTAACACATATACACATGCATGTATGCGTATGTATATGCATGTTCTCACTATATATATACACACACACTTGCATGCATATGTACATGTACTTTTAAAATTGAAGTAAAGCACACATAAATTTGCCACCATAATAATTTTCTTCTTTTTAGACAGGTCCCTTGTAGTCCAGGCTGGTCTCAAACTTGCTATGTAGCTGACAATGACCTTGAACTTCCTCATCTTGCCTCTACTTCCCAGGTACTGGCAAGACAGCTGAGAGTTCAAGGACAACCTGGCTTGCATAATGTGTTTAAATACGGTCTGGGTACAGTGACACTATCACAATGGAAAAAAAGCACTGCTTTTAGTTTTGTGTGTTTATACCCTGTAGGAGTCTACATCACATGGTGTTATCATTTAAATGTGTCCCCTTAATTTCACATGCTAGAAATTTCCATCTCAATGCAACACTATTGGGAGAGGGCTTTTAAGATGTTATGGTCTAGGTAGAGTGCTTGTATAATACATTTGATCACCACAAACAAATAGAAGGCTGACCTCTTATGAATAGTGTTGCTGTAAAAGTGGGATCACTGTGATGAGCAGACTTGTTATAAAAGGTGAACCCTCTCTTGTGTATGCTCTTGCATTTGTTGTTGGTTGCTATGACAAAAGCAACTTAAAAAGTATTCCAGTATGAATGTCAGATGTTCTCATGGGATTAGGTGTTTGAATACTTTGCCCTAGCTGATAGCACTGTTTTAGAGGGCTGTGAAACCTTTAGGGGGTAGAGCCCTGGTGGAGGAAGTGGGTCAGTGGGATAGGCCTTGTGGTTGTATAACCGGGCCTCATTTCCTGGGCTTGGTTTCCTGGCTACAGAGGCTGTGGTGGCTAGTCTTATGTCAACTTGACACAAGTTAGAGGTGTGTGAAAGAAGGGAGCACCAACTGAGAAAATGCCTCCATAAGATCCGACTATAGGACACTTTGATAATTAGTGATTGGTCAGGAGGGGCCCAGTCTATTGTGGGTGGTGCCATCTGGTCCTGGTTCTATAGGAAAGTAGGCTGAAAAAGCCACGGGGAGCAAGACAGTAAGCAGCACCCCTCCATGTCCTCAGCATCAGCTCCTGCATCCAGGTTCCTGCCCCGTTTGAGTTCTTGTCTTGACTTTGCTTCAGTGATTGATGAACAGTGCTGTGGAAGTATAAGCCAAATAAACCCTTCCCTCCCCAGCTTGATTTTTGGCCATGTTTCATTATGGCAACCGAACTAAAGCACCCAACTAAGTAGCCCTAACTAAGACAGAGGCCACACTGCCTGCTCTTGCCACACTGCCTTTCCTGCATTCAAGGACTATATCTTTTCTTAAACTAGGAGCCTCCCCACCCCACCAGATCCTTTCTTCCTGAAGTTGTTTTGACAGGCACTTTGTCATAACAGTGAGAAAAATTTCTACCACAAGAAGGAAGGGTTTGGTTTTGCTCATAGTTGAAGGGATAGCATCCAACTTGTGGATGGAAGCATGAAGTAGTCGGTTACACTCAGGAAGCACAGACATGGATGCAGCTGCTCAGCTTGCTGTCTCCTCTTTTTCTCTTCATCCAGTCCAGGACTGTAGCCCATGGGATAGTGATGCCCAAATGCAGGTAGGTCTTTCCTCTTCAGCCAAGCCTTTCTGGAAACCTCTTTAAAGTCTTAGATGAATCTGGATGCACTCAAGGTGACAATGAGGATCACTCATCACAGCTCTCCTGCCTCTTCATCTTCCATCACAGGATGATCCTTGGATGTTGGATTTTGGATTTGGATGTCTTAGCCTCCAAGATCTTGAGTAAAACAAGTATCTGTTTCCTTATAAACTACTCAGCCTCAGGAACTCTGTTTTAGCAGTGCAAAAAGACTAGGACTGGTGATAATATTTTTAAAAATCTAGTGTCTTCCATGTTATTTTCTATAGTGACAATATTATTATACACATAGATAAATTGCACAAACTCCATTTTTTTCTACTGTCTTACTAGCTTTTGTTATTTTCTGGGATTTTTTTTTAAATATTAGTGAGTGAGATGTGGTATCTTATTGCTGTTTTGATTTGCATTTTCTTACTAGTAATATAATAATAATTTTACATCTTTGGGGAATGCTTAATCAAATACTGTCAACTTTATAATATTGCCACTGAGTTGTAGCAATATTAAATTTTCTGTCTTTTTGAAAAAAACAGTATATAATTTTTATCTGCAGAAGTTTTTTATTGTGAG